TAATTTGCATTGCTTTAGCTTAATTTTGCATATGCTCATACCTCACTATTTTTCACCCATTGTCACATTTTTTTATTAATAAAGTTTCATTATTAGCTGTGAGGAACATTATGAAGAAGCCCAGTGAGACAAGTAGAGTTTATAAAAAATGTATTATTCCAAACCACATTGTTTTCAGTCAGATCTGCAGATACATTTATATAAAACATTTGCATTTACATCCAGATTTGTGACCTATAGACCTTCATGCATCGTATCAATATTCCTAACAAAAGATTTGATATTGGTTTGACAACACAGTAACTTGTAGTAGAAATATAAAGAAATAGGACACTCAGTGAATTAATAATGAATCAAAGTGAGCTCATAAAGACTTTTTTTGACACTGAAAACAATTTCTGTCCACCCAGGAGTAAAATTAATTTGCACTGATTCATGATTCAATGTTAAACTATACATGTAGATTACCCAAAATATTACATAAAGATTAAATGTTCATGCATGGCTCCTGGTTTTCTTGAGACCCTGTGGGGTTTATTCTTCATCAGATGTGCCTCTAGACAGTTTCAGCACTGGACATGTGCTTGATTCCAGTGGATTCCAGAGTGGCCTCATCCTCCACCGGCTTGGCGTTGATGATAACGCGAAAGTCTTCATCTTAAAGCAGAAATAAATAGTTCTAAAATGTTTAGTATCTTACACAGTCGCCTAGGCTTCATTTTCAAGTTTGTTTTTGATTTTGTTAGGTGAAAAGATGGCCAAACTAAAGGGTGATTTTTAGACGTCTTGTCCATTTACAACAGCTACAAGATTGACAAAGTGTAAAAAAGGAGAAGCATTAGACTCTCTGAAGTCATATTAAAACAACTGAGGGTTAAAGGCAGGCACAGTGTTGTGGACAAACCTGGGTCCGCCCACTTGTACTGCACAATAGAACATAGGCTGTAATGTCTTAACTTTAATTTTTATCATTAAAATGGACATTTAACACTTTAAAAGAGTAAACAAAAGAATACTTATCCAAAGGGCTTTTTTCTAATTTTCTCTTTAAATTGCCGTCCAGTGATGTTCTTCAGCTGATCTTTAGTGTTGCACAGATCCATGATCTTTTCTTTTCCAAAGGGTAGATGAACGCAGACCTGAAACACATTTTGGAGCCTGTTCAGTGAGTTCTTCAGATCTGTCTGTTCAGAAAGTGAAACGTTTGGTAGATAAATAGGCTATGTCATATCAGATGTGTTTTTGTTTTATATGGGTCATGGGGGATCGTCGGGTGTCAGAAAACTTTAAAAATATAAACAGAAGGTTCATTTCTGTAAAGAAATGTAAATGTTAAGTAAATTGTTTATTATAACAATGACAAGGCATCATAGACAAGATAACAATAAATTTGTCAACAGAAAGCCTATAAAGTTTGTATGATTGTTAAAAAAATAATCAAAAACACAATACTGACAGAGAACTGTATAAAACGTTCCCTAAGCAGGAAATAATCTGCTCATAACAAACGTCTTACTTACTGAGTTCACTATTTGAGTTTAATTGCACAGTTTTGAATATAAAATATCCATAAAATATTTCACTTAAGCAGGGACCATCAGTTTACTAAATGACAGAAAAGGGGTCCATTAAGGA